CTTATTGGAAACTCAAGACAGCCATAACATTATGATTTTTTACAAGTGTATGTACATTTTTGACCACAACTGTAACTGGAAGCACAGATATTCACACATAAGTTAAAAATATATGAAAAAAAGAATAAGCTATATAGTGACAATTCTTTAAGATAAACATAAACACGTTTTCTAACATCTCTTCACTTTTTCCTTTTCTTTCTTTCATTTCATTCTTTGTTTTCTACTTTAGTTTCCCCGCCTTCCCTCTCCTTCTTCCATCTCTCCATTTTTCCCTCTTCTAATTTCTTTTCCTCGTTACAACATTGCAGAACGAAGAAGAGCAGCAGGAAGTAATAAACGTCGGGACTAAGTGAGATTCAAGGCAGACTTAGTGGTTTGGTGAACTTGAACTAACCTTGATTCTCTGCATTCCTCTGCAAAGTCATCATGATCTCTGCTCATTTAATAACTGAATGCTAATCTGATCAGGCTAAGTGCTCAGAAATAACCGAGATGAGATGAAGCTGTCCTTAGACCTCCAGGCCAGACGGACGCAATGGAAAGAGTTCAGGCTAAAAATGCAGTAAAACAGGAAAAATTAGACAATAATGTAAAAACAGAGCCACTACGGAGCACAATCCAGGTAAAACAGGAAAAGTTAAACGATAATGTAAAAACAGAGCCACTACGGAGCACAATCCAGGTAAAACAGGAAAAATTAGACAATAATGTAAAAACAGAGCCACTACGGAGCACAATCCAGGTAAAACAGGAAAAGTTAAACGATAATGTAAAAACAGAGCCACTACGGAGCACAATCCAGGTAAATCGGTGGCTATGCTAACCAGCCTTAGCATTCACAACAGGCTAAGCAAACAGCGTACCAGAGAGTGGAGGGTGATTGACAGCGTCAAGACTTTGAGTAATTTTATTATAAAGTATCTCTGCTCTTACTTGAGTAAAATTTCTGCATTTTCTACCCACTGAATGAAAAACAAACATGTTTTAACCAAAACTTCACCAGACACAGGCACATTCCTGCAGTTTCTGTTAAAGTTTCTATAGTTTTTTATTGAAAGAAACTGATTTGGTAACATTTAATTTGTTATTTCTTGTTACTTATATGAATTATTGTCATTTTCGTTCTTAAAATACCAAAATTTCCACTCAACTTTATATTTCGGTCCACCTGATTATACCATTTTAAAATATTAAATGATTGATAACTTGATCAGTTGCTCTGTACTTGACTTTTTACCAAATACCTTTTTGCTCTTACTCGAGTGATTTCTGGCTACTTTTTACATTTACTTGAGTAAAACCATGTTGAAGTGGTGATACTCTGACTTGGGGAGTTTTTTGGTACTCTACTCACCTCTGACCTTAGAAAATGGCCGACGCCGCTGCCAGGTGTTAGACGTGGTCCCGGGTGGTTCTGGGAAATGGAGTCCAGAAGAAGCAGACGGTTTTCTGTCGGACAGTCGAGGCACAGAGGCTCAGTTTATGCAACAATCCGCCGTCAGCTAAATCCTCTTTACATAAGTCAGCTTATGGAGCAACAGACTTTCTGAAAAATCGCTGTTATTATCACTGAAACCAAATTAAAGTACGCTGCTATTACTCAAGCATTAAACAAAATTAAAACATGTTTTATGAAGCATTTAGATGCGTAAACGTTTCCCATATCTGACTGTGTGGAAAGCAGTAAATTGCAGGATAAGGAGAGAAAGCGACACTCCTGCTGACCTGTTTCTGTTACGTAACATCCAGAGCCGAGTCGCATGTCAAATGTCTGAACAGCAGGACTTTATAAAGACGGATGGAGGTCAGAAAAACCCAGAGAATTCATTTAAACAGTTTTATTAATGCACCTGTTTCATAAAACCGAACATTTATGCTCATTTTCAATATTTTATTCAGGAATGGACCTCGAGGTTTATTGTTAATATTTAATACTGCGATCACTGCACTTCTATAACGTGACAGAATTACGTTTTCACATTTGACAACTTTTCCAGCTGCTTTTTACATTTAACTAGATTTCCATATGTGATAAATTTTTATAAGAATCACAAATGATTCTGTGAAAATTAAACATTTGTTTAATAATTCAAGAATAACTCATGAAATTAAAGGTCATGTTATTTGTGTGTGTGTGTGAGGTTAAGTTTTACTGCATATATTTATTTTTAATCATTTAAAACAACAGTCATAATAAAACTTTTTTCCCCAGAGTCAGAAATTTGCAAATAAATGCATTCTTACACACAAACAATGGAAGCAAATCCATAAATATGTTTATAAGGTTCCATATTTATGGTAAAAGTTACTCAGTAAAAATTAACAGCAATATTTACTCTGTCACACAGAAAGAAATGTTGGTGTTCATATTTTAAGGTCATATTTTCACCATGTTATTCCTACATTTATAAATGTCAGAGTTCTAAATTAAGTATTTAATTTAAAAGCTAAATACTTTGTTTGCAAACTAAATATTTTGCTCAGTATGTAGATCCAAACTATTAAAAAAAAACAATTTCCAAACTAAACATTTAATTGCTCTCTGTATGCCCCACACACACACACACACACACACACACACACTTAGTCGTTGCCATAGCAACTGACAACAATGCTACTATATTTTTCAGGATTCGATACCAAAAAACACACAAACATTTCCCAAACACACAGAACTTTCAGTCCATTACAGTTTTATGTTTTCAGGCTTGATGTTTATTTTATTGCAACAGTGATTAGCTGTTGCAGGTTAGCTACCACTGCTATTAGCTAAGCTAATGGGGGCAGGGCCTTACACACCTGACGTCATAGTTTGGTGTGTATTTTTTTTAGTTAAAGCATCCAGAGGTTCGTCCTTCCACTGATGTTTGATATTCTGTTACCAATCTGGAAACTTATCACACGTGTCGTCTTTTGTCTCTGCTGATGTCAATACTGGTTTGCAAGTCTAATGTCGCGTTAATGTAAATGTTGAACTTTACACCCGGATGTCACAGACAGATGAAGGTGGAACGCAAGCCATGCAGATATTCCTGCAATGTCAGCAGTACGGGACCAGCTGAGGGGGCCTGAAGGTGAAGCGTTTGTTTCAGTGATTGATCTGCAGATCTTCAGTAATGATCCGGGGTTAATCACTGAACGAACGGGATCACAGAGTTCCTCTGAGACAAGGTGAGACACCCAGAAGAAGCTATGCTCTGGAGATTCAGAGGATTCAATTTTATCCCAGGAAGTACAATAATATTCCAAAACTAAACATTTAGTTTTAAAATAAATATTTAGCTTACTAACTGAATATTTAGCTTGCTAACTGAACATTTAGGTTGCTAGCTAAATATTTAGCTAAAGTAAATATTTGCTTTTGAACTTGATACTTAGTTTGGAAAATCAATATTTAGTTTGGAACTAAAATAGTTAGCAATATAACTATATTATTTTGAAGCAAACATTTAGTTTGAAAACTAAATATTTAGCTCAGACCTAAACATTTAGATGGTAACTAAATATTTAGCTTACTAGCTAAATATCCAATAAAATATAGGCAAATATTTTTAAATGATTTAGCCACTTAGCTACATGGTAGCTTGTTAGCTAGCATTTAGCTAGTAAGGGAAATATTTAGATTGTGAATTAATATTTAGTTTGGAACTCTGGCATTTATAAATGTGAAATAACATGGTGAAAATATGACTTATCTCAGTAAGTAAAATAGTATTTTGAATTAAACCTTTATTTATAGACACGTTGCAATGTCACGCGTGCAAGATCCCGTCCTCGATTTCCCAACTAAGGGCAAAAAAACTGCTAACTAGTGATGACCATCGCTGGTTTTTGCTGTCAAGTTGTCAAAATGATGCTAAATCTGAAATTTACGTAAAATAAGAAATTCAGCGTGTTTCGGTTCAGTCACGCCAACTTTCTGATCAGAGCAGGTGTTTAAATTAGGTGATCAGCCACCGCTGTGTTCAGCCGATCACTTATTAAACCTTTACCTTCACTTTCATTAATCCTGTACACGTCCACAAACATTGTAAACGTCATAAAGTAACATACCTCGTGTCTGACGTCACCCATGAGTTTAAAATTACTTTAAACTCAGCAAATCAAATGTTTAGCAAACGGAGCAGTTGGACTTACTTCCGCTAAAGGGTATACTCCCAAAATAAGAGCCTGAATTTCAAAATAAAACACGAGGTACTTCAAAATTTTACAATTAAATAATCAAGCATGAAACAACCATTTAAATAAATTTTTTAAATATTATCGGTTCTTTACACTTATTCTAAATGTTGTACAAAGACAACCAACAAAAACTGAAATTAATTATATGAAAAATGTCAGAAAACAAATAAACCAGCATCAGGAGTAAATACTCCTGAAAATCTTCAAAACATGTGGAAAGCAACTGGTCAAGACCGCTTTAATATGCAACAAGATAGTCTGAATGCTTGGAAGATAAATATATAACAAGGGATTAATTAAAACATTTTCACAATACTGTGGATTCTTAAATTGCACTTTTAATCTGTTTCAAACTTTGTTGAAGGAAGTTGTGGAGTTAAAATATTGCTTCTGAGCAAAAATGTAAAAATTTACTTTCAAATATTGATTTTCATGTATTTGTTAAAAGTAAATGGAATTACAGAGGAGCTCAAAACTGCAAAACCCATCTTTAGGCTGCAACTGAACATCATGCAGGATATGTGTGTGTGTGTGTGTGTGTGTGTGTGTGTGTGTGTGTGTGTGTGTGTGTGTGTGTGTGTGCGTGCGTGCATGAGTGCGTGCATGTTTTTAAAGAAAAATCCAATAAATCTGTTTTCAAATAAATAAATAATAACAGAATCATTTATTTTGGCCCATCATCGCCGTTTCCAGCTTCTCTGTCATCGCAGAGCATCATCTCTGTCTGCATCCGCCGTGAAGGTCAAGCCAAGGAGCTTCACACATTCACAAATAAATAAATAAATAAGTTGTATGAAACACACTCGCATTGTTCCAGGAATCCGTGCATGATTCTGCAACACACCAACAATCTGCACCAATCCGCCTGTTACCGCAGCTTTAATACACCAAGGCTCTATTAAATTTAAGAAAAAAAAACAGCTTTCATGGTATCGAGCGATCCAAACAATGGGGGGAACTGGCATTGGGGTTTCCATGGCAACTGCAGCAAGCTGCTAAGAGGGCTGCTTTGATAACATATGTCAGACTTGACTGCTTTGTTCACAGTGAGCCTAGCAACAGACTCTGAGATGCAAAGAAAACTCCAATAACTCACAAAAAGGACACAGTCAGATTATTCCTTTTATGTTCATAATGCTCCAAAATATAATTTAATCTGTAGCGATCAGAGCAGTTTCTGTAAATCAGGGATTGCCAAATACAATGACAAATGTAAAATATATAATTCTTGTAAATGCAGCTGCAGCTTTAATAGTTCAGAGTGTAAAATGTTGTCTTTTTGCTGCTCGTCTTCATGTCTCTAGTGACTGAACTCCCGTTTGTCTCTGCAGCAGCAGCAGCGGCGGCGGCGTTGGGTTGGGTGGGCGGCGAATACCGCAGCGGCTCGGCGCTGTATCACTGCCACGCGCAACGTGAGGAGCAAAGAAGGAGGCAGACAGATGAAAATAATTGGGAGAGAAGCGAGGATGGGAAGATGTTTCTAGGGAGGAAGACGGATGCGTCAGGCAGAAACATTAGTATGCAACCAAGTTGTTTGTTCAGTTTCAGGACTAAGGCTGACACACAAGAACCAGCAACAAAAACGCCTCAAACATCCAGTTATTGCTCAACTTATTGACATATCTGGCAACATAGACGAATAGCTGCACTTCAGTTACACTCCAGGCCCTGACAGCAGCTGTGCTGCAACTTTTAGTTGATTACACTGCAAAACCATAAAGTCTTACCAAGTATTTCTTACTCTAATTTTCAGTGCAAATAACTTAGTAGACTGAAAAAGCAACTAAACGAAATTCAAAGTCTTAAGCAAGACATAGGAGCTTGTTTTAATCCAACTACCAAAGTTATTTCTATTTTATAATAACCATAAAAATGATTTGACTTTTTTTAGAGTTCTGATAAATATCTGCACATTTCATTGTTGTTTTATTTAATCTTTTGTTGTTTCTTTCTGCTGGTTTGGACTTCTGAAATTCATCAAATTTGGTCTGAAAAAATTGCTGGAGTAAATATAAAGATCCACTGTATAAAAGCAGTCTGATTTTAATTTGAAGAAAATTATTTAAAAAAAAATCTGATCTAAAACAAGAAAACTTTACTTTGATTTAATGTTATACAGAGAAAATAAAGTCTGCCTGTTTTCAGCTGCAAAATACAAAAACTGCTTTAGAAAACATGAAGTCTGGATTATATTACTTTTACTAAAGGTTTTAATTACAAATATATGTCCAAAAGTCTTTAGATGTCTCATCTTTCTTTATATTTTTCTCCCAAAGAACCAGAGTTTTTCCTAAAGTGGTCCAGATAAATCATCCTCCAGCGTTTCTGAAGGTCTTTCTAAGGACTTTGGCTGCATTTCAGCCCAGAGTCTGACCCGTTTCACTTTCACCAGTAAAACATTTAAAAAGAACCCACAACCCCTGAACCTTTTCCCATTTTTTACTTTAACTAAAACCTATCAAACTAAGAACCTGGCCATTATGGAAGGAACAGCGAGAGGAAAGTTATTGTTGAAAGAAAGTTTTTTTACAGCAGATTAATGTGTGAGGGGAAACTGGGAGGAACCTCTCAACTCTGCGTTTCAAAATGGCCGCTCCTCGCATTAGAAATGCTGTGTTTTTGTATGACTACAACTTTTTAAATATTTTATACTTATCCAAAGTCATTTTGTATTCTTGACGGTAAAAGTTTTGTTTTGTACTTAAGTATATTCCAAAACTTGTACTTTTACTTTTACTACAATATTTTTTCATACAAGTATCTATAGTAGGGCTGTTATAAAAGAATATTCTAGTAATCGAGTACTCTAACGATTGTTGTTATGATTAATTGAGTAACCCGAAAAATCGCATCATGTCAAGCAACTGAAGGATGCTTATTGATCGCCCAAAAAACCGATAAAAACCTGGAAAATTGGACGTCACTCAGGCGCAGTGAGAGCGCTGCCCAAAACAAACAATGACCCGGCCGAACACGGTGCGCTAAATAAAAAACATAATTTAACAAAAAGCTTTGAGGCAGATTAATGTTCCTTTGAAATTTTAGTAATCGCAGTACTCGAATCATTCGAGGAATCGCTGCAGCCCTAATCTACTTCTACTTAAGTACAGAACATGATTACTTTTGACACGTGAACGTCACATGTGTATTATATATAAGTATATGTATAATACTAAGATAAATATCAGTAATATTTACTGTAGTACTCACTGCCAAACTAACAAAAGTAGCTTAGCTAACGTAGCTTTTAACTGCTAGCTAAGACGGACACTTACCAAGATGGCGGTTCTTGTGGGAAACGAGTTTCAGTTCCTCTGCTGCAGATTTTCGATTCTTTATATTTTGTTTAATTATTTTATTTCCTCTGAGGAGTGCGGCTGTGTGTTTATGTGTCTATTGGTTTGATTTGAAGTGTGAGGGGATGGGGCGGGGGGGTCTCTCTAAAGACATTGATGATCTGCCCCCTCCCCTCTGCGGTCCTCGGCACGTCTCCGTTGCCATGGCAGCGCTCGCATTGCCGCAGGCTGGCTGTAGCGCGGCGCGCGGGTTGAAAAGAAAGCGAAGAGGGAGGGAGGGGCGAGGATATGTTTTCCAATTCATTACCCCTACACCAATCCCCCCCCAAAAAAACACTCCAAAAAAAAAAAAAAAAAAGGAACCATCCCCCCTCAGACCTGGCAGGGCGGCAATAAGGCCTCGGCGCTGCTCAGTAGTCCACACACGTTGGATCTAAACTTCAGACTGCATTTATTATTCATCCCCGTCTTCTTCCACGGCAGACAGCTCTGCAGCCGAGCACACACACACACACACACACACACACACACTGAGACATAAATTGCATCAGTCTACTGCCTTTAGATATAATGTATTACAGTGCAGAATCAGCCTGCTGGATGATTACCCCCTGCAGAAGGAGACACCTCAATTCACCCAAACATGTGGACTTTCATCTTGTCTTCTGTCAAGTTCAGATGTTTTTTTATTTTTATTTTTATTTCTCCCTAATATCATTACTGTGTTCAGATGCAGCTCTGGTGCTCTGCACTGCAAAAACACAAAATCCTACCAAGTATTTTTGGTGTAGCTTCTAGTGCTAATATCTTAGTACGCTAAACTAATTTGCAAGTAACTTTTCAGGAAGATACAGGAGATTGCTTTAAGTCAATAATTCCTTCATATTGATTAAAAAGTTCTGGTTCCCTTTGCAGATTTTTTCAGATATATCAAGACATTTTCCCCATGAAATAATCTGCAAGTGGAACCAGAACTTTTTCATCAATGTTAAGGAATTATTTACATAAAATAAGCTCACATCTTACTGAAGTTACTTGTTAGTTTACAAATGTCTTAATGTCTTAAGACATTTGCACTGAAAATTATATCAAAAATAAAAAAAACTCAAGAAGATTTTGTGTTTTTTTAGTGTTAACGTGGTTGAAGAATGTGGGTTTTTTTACCCACACATTTTCCATGTAGGCTTTGATCCTAAAACTGGAAAAATGTTTCTATACTATGTTTTAGAATTATATTTTAACTTTTCTTTAAGAATAATTTCTTATATAAAAAAATAATACCTCAAAATTTGGATGTTTTATGCTTGAAATTACTTCAGTACACTGGAAAAACACAATTTTACCAAGTATTTTTTATGTTTCATCTAGTTTCAAGTGGAAATATTTCAGTATGTTTGAAATATGACAAAACTAACTTGTAAGTAACTTTCCAGCAAGAAAAAGGAGCTTGTTTTATGTCAATAATTTCTTAATATTGAAGAAAAGTTCTATTTCTAGTGGCAGGTTATTTCATTTTCCCATGTTAAAAGTGAAATAATCTGCCAGTGATTTAAAAGAAGTTTTACTTCCTGATTTACAGCCTTGAATTTGGGCATCTGTCTCTTTAAGAAGCTCCTGTTCTTTCTGAAGCTCCGCCTCCAGGAAATCATCCCAACATGGCTTCTCTATTAATGTTTTTATCAGCGTTACTCTGAGAAGTAGCTCCTATAGTGAGATCAGGAGCTCCACCAGGTGTTTGCTAATTGCTGCTGGCTAGTCTGAAGGAGCTGAGTGGGGAGTTAGAAGCTTGGAAACAGCTGCGCCTCGAAGGCGGGTCTAGGTCTCCTCACCGGGTCTAGGTCCACCACGGCATTTTACAGCTGGAAAGTTTGTTTTTGATGTGGGAATAATTTTATAATATGATGTAAAGTATAAAAAAGAACATTTGACATAATACTGCCTCTTTAAGCTTCTTCTTGTCCTGATAGTTGTTTTTCTGCAGCTTCTCCTTCATCATCAAATGTCAACCGCAAACATGAACATGAACCTGTCCTGATGACCTTTTGACCCCTGCGCTTCCATACTGAGCGGCGACAGTGGCGCGTTAAAGGAACGAAGCCATTCAGGCGTGATCCTGCGTGCTTGGAGACCCGGCCTGGAGCCGAATTCAGCCTCCATATTCTGACTTTCTGAAGTTCATTTTAAATGTAACTTTCCTGCGTCTTTATGTTTTGTTTCTTGTCTTGTTATGAAAAGTGAATCAAGAACATGAGGAAATCTATTTCTTTCTACATTAAATCACTTAGCAACAGCATGCTGCAATATCAGTTTGCATTTGTTTACATTTCTTCAATCAGGACTTAAAAATAGAAGACGATCTTATGATAGCAACATTGACTTTGATTTTTGCTTATTTGCTCACCAGATTTTTCCAGTGTCTGAAATGCTAAATGCATTTACAGAAGTGTGAGCTGCAGCTCAGGTTTCCTAATTTATCATCATATCATCATTGATTGATCATCATGTTCCAACATAGCAAAAAAAATCAAATTACTATAACATTTATTTTGGTCCAAACAACAGGTTAATTTTCCACTTTTACCTCCCAAAGCCAAAGAAAGATTTTTAAAATCAAAATGCAATGTTTATTTTTGGTAATTTCAATTTGCACAATTCTATGGTTAGAGGAAACACAGAAAATGCTTCACATATATGCACAATTTGACACTTTGAAAATAAATTTGCTTAATGAAAAAAATGGTTATTTCTAATTTCCTGATAAAATGTTTGGAGCTAGAATGAGGTGGAGTTTTTTTTGTCTTACCAAAATTGACATATTTTGAAAAACTGCAATGGAAACAATTTTTGCATTTAGCACAAGCCACATGATCAACAACAGGATGTTGCTACTGGTGGAAACCACAAAGAAGATGACGACAGGAAGTAGTTTAAGGATGATGTTTTTAATGACTTATCACATGAACAAACTTATTCATGTGTGATTTTTATTGCATTTCTTAGTTAATTGAAACACAACAATTGCAAAATTGTGTTTGTTCAACATTTGTGGAATGCTCCCTGCATTTCTGCTGATTATATAGTTGTGCAATTTGATAAGTTAAAATCAAATTAGCTTATTGGGAACATGTCAGTTTTGAAACAAAACCAACTAGTTTTTCAATAAAAAGTTTTGCTGGTAGCATGTGGTGGTTTTGTTGGCCATATTGAAATTGGTTTATTTTCCAAAACTGACAAGGAAACACTTAATTTGCATCAAACGAGTCACATGATCACCAACCGGATGCTACCATTGGTGCAAACCACCAAAAAGAAGATGACAGGAAGTGGCAGGAGAATGATGGCACTGCATGATTTTAATGATTTATTGTGTGAACAAAGTTATTCACGTGTGACTTTAATGTTATTTCTTATTTAATGTAAATGCTGCAATTGTGAGATTTTGTTTTTTCAACATGGCAGTCTATTTAGACAGCTTTGCACACGTTTGTAACGGAAACGCAGCTACATGTAGTGAATGCAGAATGAGAACTGGCTGTGGACAACATATTTAAGCGGTTAAAGCTCGTCTTTCTGAGCAGCACAGACAGATAAACACACACAGAGCCACTGACGGCTGCATGAACAGAATCCTGAGTTCTGGGGCTCCATTCGGATGTTTGTTTCATCCGATGATCTGCTGACAGCAGAATAAATATGGCGGAAATGAGATACGGATCTGACACATCTTCTTGATCACATTGTTGCACACACACATACAGACACACACAGATTTCTACTGATGCAACAACAACGACAGAAAAAAATACCAAATCATCTTTTTATTCCCATGGGAATCAGATCCAGGTTTGTTCAGTTCACCTGAACTTTACTGAGGCTGTTTGTGTTCAGAGTGAATTTATTCCTTCTAATAAATGTCAGTGGAAACATGTGGCTGGAGATTTTAAAGAAACATAAATGTAAATAAATGTGCTCCTACAAAACAACTGGAGAATATTTCCAGCACTAAAGGACTAATGATGGGTAATGTTCGGAGCTTGGCTGGGGTCAGTAGGTGAAGGGGAAGCACCTGCTGACTTGTGATGTTACATTCAGGAGGTTTGTTTTCCAGACAAAAAATATTAATTTACTGCTAAAACCCATTTAGCCGATTTTTTATAAATCAGCTATTTTTTATAAACACATTTTATTAAAGTATAAAATGTGGAAAATGTGAATTTTGCATAATACACCACCTTTAGATGGGAGCTATTGTTGTTACACAGCATCCATCTGAAGCAGAGGAAGAGCAAAATGTCACACACCTTCAACATACCTGCGAAGATACACACATCTCTGGCATTACTTCTGACTCACAGAGAGACTCTTCACCCAGACGCTGACATTTCTGGCTTTACGCTTTACTGGCTGGCAGCTAAACCAACAAAACCTGCAGGCTGAGCTGTGTTAGCGCCATGGTGGATAAAAAAAGAAGTGGGAGTGAATTTCTGCCAAAACATTTACCCTTCTCTGATTTTTTTAGTTCAATCTCAGAAATTTTCTAAAAATAAAAATAAGGAAATTTATGAGTTTGAAAAGCTGGTAGGAGACAGGAGATTTTGAGATTGATTTCAGAAAAATTCTTGAAAATGCTTGGAAATTGAAAAATCCAAAAATATTCTTAAAAACAATTTTTCTGAGATTAATCTCAGAACTTTTCTAGAAGAAAATGAGGAAATCTTTGAGTTTCAAAAGTCAAAATTATTTGACTTTTGGAAATTCAGTTTGAAAAGTTTAAAAATTTGCAAGAAAAAAAAAGAAAGATTAATTTCAGAATCTTTTTGAAGAAACAAGAAAATTTCTGAGTTCCAAAAACTGAAACCTTGGTTGAAAAATACTCAGAAATTTTGAAATAAATGCAGATTATTTCCAGAAAAGAATATGGATACTTCTGTTTGAAAAGTAAAAACTGTGCTAGGAAAAACTCAAATTTTGAGATTAAATTAATAGATTCAAATTTAGATTTTTTTTTTCCAAACTGACAAATTTCTTTGTTTTTTCTGGAATATTTCTGAGTTTTTGTTGCAAATTTTAACTTTTCAAACTCAGTTAACATTTCCTGGTTGTTTTTTCTGAGGTTTTTAGTGGAAATGTACTTTTTTTTGGTGTCTACAGTGGCCCAGTACGCCATAGAGCTGCAAGGTGCTGCAAAGTCTGATCAGATGGACATGCTTCCCAGGCTGGGAGCGTGTGTGTGTGTGTGTGTGTGTGTGTGTGTGCACCACAGATGGTGAGGCTGTGAAAGCACCAGAGGTGCCTGAGCTCATTAGGAAGCAGGACCATACTCCGGTGCAGAGCGGAGAGGAGCAGGGTGGGGGTGATGCAGAGCCGAGCCTGAAATGTTTCGCCTCAGAGTCAAAGATCCGATGTTTCTCCGTCCGCCGCCTCAGAAACCAACATTTACAAATCCTTCCTCTGCGTTCAGACTCCAGCAGGAAATCCATCACATCTGTCGGGAGAAATAAGTGTCTAAAAGGTGAGAGGTTGTTCTGAGGCTGCAGGCTGAGCCGTGTGGCCCACAGGCCGGACTCTGGCGCCACCTACCGGCCACAGCAAGGACTCCTCCGCTGCGTCAGGGAAAGACGGAAGATTTTAGAAAAAATGGCAAAGTTGATCAGGAAGTTGAAGTTTTCTATTGAATTAAATGCAGGGTTGGGTAGTAACTAGTTACATTTACTAACTTTTTTTAAAATTTACTTTCAGAAATATTCTTATTACGCTGTACTTTGAGTAATTTTATTATAAAGTATTTCTTCTCTTACTTGAGTCAAATTTCTGGGTTTTCTGAATGAAAACCAACATGTTTTAACCAAACATTCACCAGGCACAGATACACTCTTCTTTCATCCATGTTACTGTTGCCTTTCAGGGCCACACATTTGGTTTTCATTCCTCCAGGATGAAATCACATCTCTAAGACAAACTGTTGGTCTGAATTCACAACTGCAGGACAAAAAAACACCAAACACTTTGTCCCCTTCATTAAAAGTTTTTTTAATCTCATTTTAGAGGTTTGTGACCCAAATCAGTCCTGAAAGCTTTACCACAGTAAATCTGTGGTTGTGTAAGCAAACACAGCAACACAGAGCAAATCTCAGGCCATGAAATCCACCAGGAGTCGGCAGGAACTGGACCAAAACGAGGAGATGCTTCCCCATTTCCCGCCTCGTCCAGCTGCTGTGAGGGAAACCGGCCTTAAAGAGACAGTACGTAACTTTCACAAGAAATGATTACAAACTAATTATGGTTTAAGACAGATAACGTGAAAAACTGAGCTCTTCTGGCTTCTCCCAGTGCTAACTAGAAACAACCAATCAGAGCCGGGAGGCGGGTCTAAGCGCTGTCAATCACCTTCCACTGATGAACGCTAAGGCTAGTTAGCGTAGCCATAACTGATGATGGTGGATAAACAGTTTTCCTGTCATGATGAGTTGTTTCTCTGCCTCTGGCACTTTAAGCAGCATAAATGATACATAAAATTGATTGACAGCGCTAAGCTCCGCCTCCAGGCTCTGATTGGTTGTTTTTAGTCATTTCTTCTGACATCAATAGCAGCTCAGGGAGGAGATCGATCTTTTCAGAGATTATCAGTGTCATAAACGTGAAAAGACCTTTTTTCTAAACGTTACATGCTGCAGCTTTAAGCGTTTACGTCTGGAGACGTTCAAAGATGGAGGGAATCAGGACTGCACGTCCTCCTCAGTTCTGCTTTTCTTCTTCTTCTTTTTCTTCTTCCCTGAACTCTCCGCTGCGTCGCTGTATAAAACGTCCAGCGGCTCACATTTCACAGAAACTGATTCCTCCTTAACATTCACGCCGGGCTCCAGCCCCTCCTCCACCTCCTCCCGCTCCCTGTCCTTCTTCTTCTTCTTCTTCTTCGTCGTCTTCTCCTCTCCGAAAGGAAGACCCGCCGCCGTCACTTCATCCAGATTTTCATCGGATGGCTCCTGTTTCATCTGCAGCAACACTTCCACTTCTTCAGATTTTATCCGCTTCTCTTTCTTCTTCTTCTTTTTCCTCTTCCTGCCCTCCTCCTCGTCATCCTCACCCACCCGGCCTCCGTCTTCTACGAACTGCTTCATCACCAGCGGCCGCAGCGTCGTCGACGACGGCCCGAACGCGGCTCCGTCCGCCTCATTCTCCGCCACATAGGTGAGCTTCGGGGTCTTGCTGCCGAACGGGTGGAACCGCTGCTTGAGGCCGGAGGGGATGGCGGGCGCCAGGGCGGTCGGCACAACATGTGGCGCCCGCTCGGCGCCGGCGTCCCCGTAGCTTTCGCAGATGTTCAGCAGGCCGGAAAAGGCCGGAGCGAAGACGAAGCCGTCCGACGTCCGGCTGTCGCTGGTGAGCAGGTGAAGGTCGTTGGGGTGGGACGACGCCAGGACGCTGTAGCTCTGCTGGACCGGTCCAACCGGAACCTTAAGGGTCTGGAGACCCGACAGGGGAACCTGGACGCCGCTGAAGCTGCAGGGAAAACAAATGGAGAGTTGGAATACACTGCAAAAACACAAAATCTTACCACATAATTTTTATCTAATGTCAAATACCCTAGTATACTTGAATTAAGACGACTGCATTTCCAGAACAATATAGCAGCTCGTTTAAAGTCAGTAATCCCTTAATATTAATGAAAAAGTTCTAGTTAGTTCCACTGGTGGAATATTTCACTTGTAACAAGACATTTATAAGTGAAATAATCTGCCAGTGGAACTAAAACTGAGTTGCTAGGTAACGGTTGGGGCTTGGATGGGGTTGCTAGGTAACGGGGCAGTGCCCAACTAGAACTTTATCAACATTAAGGAATTATAGACTTAAAACAAGCTCCTATATTTTGCTGAAAAGTTGCTTGTAAGTTTGTTTTGTCTTTTTCTGAGTGCACCAAATATTTACACAACTAAAGTAAAAATACTTAGTAAAATTTCAACAGGAAAGATTTCAAAGAACATGGACATTTGTGTGGATAGGTTGTTCTCCAATATTACACTGCAAAAACAAAATGTTATCAAATTTATTGTATGTAATTCAGACTGCTACAAGAGATCTTTCCTGCCAACGGCCGTAACAATATACAATAACTATTTGAAGAGTTACCACAACATCTAATTTCCCTTTGGGATTAATAAAGTTTTTANGAATNTGAATTTTCTTTGAAATCTTTCCTGTTCACTGTGAAAACACAAAATCTTACCAAGTATTTTTGGTTTAGTTTCTTCTGAAAATATCTTAATACACTTTAAAAAAGACAAAACTAACTTAAATGTAACTTCTTAGGAGCTTGTTTTAAGTCCTTAACGTTGATCAAACGTTCTAGTTTCACTGGTAGATTATTTTACTTACAAGACATTTTTCCCATGTTAGAAGTGAAATAATCAACGTTCTGATTTTTTATGCAGACCTGTTGCAGTAATCAATGCAACTACAGATACAGATGGATGAGTTTTTCTAATGCTGAGACATTAGTCCTCTAACCCTGGAAATGTTCTCCAGGTGATAGAAGGCTGACTTTGTAACCTTCTTTATGTGTATCTGAATGTTCAGGTCAGAGTTCATCTTGATCTCTGGTTTCCAGCTCTAACAGCTGAAGCTGTGCGTTGTCTCCAGGTCGTTCTTCTTTAGGTCCAAAGATAATAACTTCAGTTTTGTTTCTGCAAAGGTAGCCGGTATGCTACATATGTGCCAGTAGAGTTGCTTAGGATCGAAGAAGCATCTGGTGTTGACATGTTGGGTTTAAAGGGCCTCAAAAATGAAAATATGCTAAAAAGGATTGGGCTAGCCCTGCCTGAGCTCACAGGAGCATGTAGACAACAGGGGTCCCAGGACTGAACCCTGTGGAACGCCACATGTGATTTTTCTCCATTCAAATGAGAAGTTGACTCAAACCAGTCAAGTACTGGTCCTCCATGTCTTTATCATGGGAAACCAATAAATCTATATGGAAATTATGGGTGGAACTTATTAATTTGAAATGAAACCAACATTTTCTAAATCGAGAAGATGATAAACAGGAAGAAAACTAAGGTTTATTTTAAACTTGCTGGACATAAAGTCTTTGTGGACTGGATTAAACCAAGACCTCCTCACCAGCTGCTAATGTTCTATAAAATCTAAAATTGGCCAGTAAAGAACGGCAGAAAAACTGACAATCATCCCTGACTGAGTTCCAAGAAGATTTTCAACCTCACCTTTCTGCTGAAACGGAACAGCAGCGAGAGTAAACCGCGAGGACAAAGCTTAATTTCCATTCAAGTTCTTGTAAAGATCGGAATGCATGATAACAGACGCAAGGAGCACAGGCTGTACCCACCAGTGGGGGTCGAAGCTGGCAGGAGCTTTAATGAGCCACAACTCGTTCTCGTTGTTCCTCAGATTGTCTGCCAGCGTGCTGCTGCAGGGGACGTGGCAGAAAGACACAAAGTCCTCAGGACACTCCAGCCGTGCGGTCTTCCTGGCTGCAGAAACAAACAAGCAACTCGTCATTAAATAAGAGTTTGAAAGCAGAGGATCTGTCGGCTTAGCACTATGTGGGAAAACACTTCCACATACTTTTTTGTTTTGTTTTTATTGGGATGTTTTGTGATGGACAAACACAAATAAAAATCTGAAAAGTGAGGGGATTTTATTCAATTATGGTGTGAAAATTCCAAAAACTTCACTGCAAAAACACAAAATCTTGCTGAGTATCGTTATTCTAATTTCTAGTGCAAATATCTTAGTACATGTCAAATAATATAAAACTAACTTATAAATAACTTTCAGCAAGATGCAGGAGCTTAGTTTAATTATTCCTTAATGTTGATGAAAAATCACATTGGCAGATTATTTCTAGGCCTGTCGCAATAAATCAGTTAATCCCATGATGGATTAGATCGAGATCAATCATTTCCATGATTTATTGTTTTTCTCTTTTTTTTTTTCTTTTTCTACCAACAACTGGATGATAAAAGTCTTCAGTTTGGTACTTTGGTCTCAACTAGCACCTTTTTATGAAGAACAATTTTGTTTACAGAGACTTTTTAATTCATTTTATTTTTTGTTTTATTTATTTTGGATTCTTAAAAGGTCTTCCAGTTCCAGTGTTAAATGTTCATTAGAATTGATACTTGGTAATGTGTTCTTGAATTGTTGTGCCATAACCATTATATTGCTGGAAAATGATTTAAAAACAACATTATTGTTTATTGCAACAAATTCTGGGTCAATTTATCGTTCACAAAGAAAATATTGTGTAGCATTGTTTCACTTATACTATGGGAAGAATGTCACATTATAAGTGAATATTCTACCAGTGGAACTAGTACTTTTTATCGATATCAAGGAATTACTGACTTAAAACAAGTTACTTGTAAATTAGTTTTGTTTTATTTCAAGTTTACTAAAATATTTGCACAAGAAACTAGACCAAAAATATGTGCTAAGACTTTTTGCAGTGTACCAAAGTAATTTTTAGGATAAAGGATCAAAAGTTTTGAAGTAAGTATTCATTTTAGCAACAAATTATTCTTAAAGGAAAGCTAAAATGTCAGAATAAAACAGTTTATGGACTGTTTTTTTGTTTTTGTTTTTTCATTTTTAGGAATAAAGTCTACATAAAATGTCTTTGGTTACAAAAAGACGTGTTTCACTGCAAAAACACTCAATTTCACCAAATATTTTTTGGCCTTGTTTCCAGTTCAAACAACTGAATTAAGACAAACTTAAAAGTAACTTTTCTGCAACATATAGGGCCTTGTTTTAAGTCATTAATTTCTTAATGTTGATGGAAAAAGTACTAGTTCCACTTGGTAAGAAATGTATGGAATGCATTACCGCCATCTACTGTAATGGAGTGCGTCTCAGACTGTATTATTTTATACATAAATTATAAGTATTCATATTTTGTTAAGCAACTTTGTTGATTAACAACCCGCATATACAAAATAGTTATTTCTAATTTATATTTAAAGTGCAACACACACGGTAATATTAGGTTTTTGGTCGGAGATACCATTTTAAAACCCATTTCTTTTTTGCACCAACTTAGCTTAAATTACATCCGTATGCTTACCGGGTTCTTTCTGCCGTTCCGTTGTTTCCATGGCAACATTGTCCGTTTCATCCTCGCTCGAAGACGAAGAAATGTCTTTTGGCATGTTTTATAGTTTAAAAATAACTGCTAACAATAGAACTCACAACGTTTTTTAGCTCAACACGCATGGCTCTGAGGTGGGAATGAACATGTGTTGACACAAAGTGAACCCAGACTTGTAAGGAGTACTTCCGGGTCACGGTGGATTGTAGTCCCACCTCCCGGTTTGTTGGAAGTATTTGAGTTGGTAGCGCTGGTCAAAACAACTCAAACACCCATAATCCTCCTCGAACGATTACGTAACCTACCAGCGTCTGTCGGGGAAAAACAGTTGACAGGAGCGAGAAGTAGGCCGAACAGGATAAACAAAGCAAATATATTGAAAAGAGCTTAGACGACTTTAATATTTGTCATTATTTTTAATGCTTAAAATGAGTAGCGTTTTTCTAAAGTTGTGTTGGATCTGTTAAGGCGGAAAGTTTGTCGAAAAGAGAGTGCGTACACCTGTCGAACCGAAATAGGTTAACGAAGCTAACCTGTGTTAGCACGTTAGCGTGCTAGCTGGCTGTTTGAACCCGAACAGGTGTGCCAGGTGGCCCGCCAGGCAGCCATGTCCTCCCCTTCTTCGTCGTCCAGGCGCCAGTGGTGCTACTTGTGCGACCTGCCGAAGATGCCATGGACCGTGGTGTGGGACTTCAGCGAGGTGGTCTGCCGCGGTTGCGTTAACTACGAGGGGGCTAACCAGATCGAGTTCCTGATAGCAAGCGCCCGCCAGCTGAAGCGGAGTCACGGCATGCAGGATGGCAACGTGAGGTCGCCCGGCCCCTCTCCCAACAAACACGGCTCCTTAGCAAGAGCAGAGCCGGGGCCGGACGGCGGAAGGCAGCACGCGGAGCGCTTTGACCGGGGAGGGAGAGGGGAAGGCGGCGGGACGACGATACGCGTGCCGCCCAACGGGCTGCACCGCGACGGGCAGCCGCCCCAAGAGATGAACCGCCAGAGCCCCAGCAGCAGCCGGAGACCCATGATCGGAGCCGCCATCCCGCCCAATCTGGTGACTCAAAGCATTGCGGGAATGCCCGGCCTGCTTGCGGGTATGCCAGCGGGTCTGACCGCCAGGACAGCGCCGATGAGCAGCCCGATGATCTTCCCGGCGCCGGTGCTGGCTGAGATGAGCCGCAGACAGCTGGGGATCGGGATCTCCTCCTTCATCACTCCGGAGCTGGAACGGGAGCTCATTTCCTCCCAGGCCAAGTCCCAGACTCAGACCCAGGCTGGCACCAGCGGCAGCAAGAGCACAAGCCTGTCTTCTTCGTCTTTTTCCATGGCTGGAGGCGTGAGCCAGACGAGCCCGAAGCCCGCTTCATCCCCGGCCAGGCAGCAACGCCCCCCGACGGCCCGGTCCGGAGCCGAGCCTCTGGGATCCAGCAGCTCCGCGGAGGCAGCCACCACTGCTGCGGCGTTACCCAACAACGGTGCCTCCGAGCTGGGGTCGGCATCTGTCAGCAACACCCATCCGACCGGAAACACGCTGTCCTGCACGCTGTGCCATGAGCGTCTGGAGGACACGCACTTTGTCCAGTGTCCATCAGTGCCTGGGCACAGGTGCGTTTTCTGTTTATATGGATTTACTGCGGTTTTTTATTAGTGCTCCAGCTAACGATTAATTTACTAATCAGCATTTCTAGACGATTAATCGTTACAAAAATTGGCGCATGACATTAAATTTAAAAATTCAAGGAAACTCAATTCTGTTTTTTAAATTAATAAAATAAAAAAATAAAAAACATTTTTAATTCAATAATGTTTCTTTAGTGCTTGATTAATCAGAGATTTAATATTATTTTACAGAATATTAAAAATACATTTAAAATTCAAAATGAAAACAATTTTTTTTATTTAAATAAGTAATCATTTTATTGATAAAATAGTATAATATATCATTCCTTTAGCGTACGCTTGATCATTTGTTGCAAGCATCTGCAGCTAAAGAATTGATTAATCAATTATTTCAATTGATGCTGAAATGATTACTTCCATTAATCATGATTAGCCTATTGAAATAATTATCAAATAATTTAGTAATTGATTAATCATTAAGTAAAATAAAAAAAATGCAATTTCCAGAGAAAACAATCAGAGCAGTAATTAAGCCAAATATGTATAAATGTACATTTATATTTAACAAAAAAAAGAACAAAATCTGTAGAGATGTTTCAGCCAAAACTCCTGAGGTTGTTTTTGCTTCTTCTGGTTCAAATTCACTAGATGAATAAGATGATGATGTATTTCAGGACCAAATGTTTACTTTCTTAAAAAAAGAAGAACTTTATTTGTTTGTTTTGCATCTTTTATTTATTTCTAATATTTTCTTTAAAAAAAAAAGGTTTAAATGGTCAAATAAAAAATCTGTAGAATATGTCACTTATCTGTTAAATCAATAAAACAATTTGTAACTAAAACAATTAGTAGGCCTGTCACAACAACAAATTTTACTGGATAATAAATTGTCCCAGAAATTATTGCAATAAATGATAATATTGACATTTTGAGATAGTGTTCAACAAAAACTAATAATAATGGCTTCTTATTGCAAGTATCCACATTTAAACTTTAAATTCTTAAGAGCATTGAACAAAGCAGTGGTAGATTAGCTCATTTAAATATCTGCTCTTCTTATGGTCTGTCAGAGTAGTTTAGCTCGCCTATTTTTTAATTTTTTAACTGAAACGCACCGAATTCCACAGCATAGCTACATGGTAAAGTTGTCAAAGTCAAGCTAGCATTGCTGAACTACTCTCCTCCCCACGCTATTTTTTTCTAAATTAAAAACTTTTTCCTGACCTTGTTATCTAGTTTATGTAATGTTTGCAATTAGTAGCAAAGCACTGCACCTTTTTTCTTTTATATATCAATCATGTATTTAAGATAAACAGCTAAAACTAATGCTAATCTTTGGCTAGCAGCAGCTTTTTTGCCCTCCAGATGGGAGATGGAAATTATGACTGGTCTATACTAGTTGTATTCTCATAAATGTTTCCCGTCTCTCATTTCAAATGCAGGTTCTGCTTCCCCTGCACCAGAGTGTACATCCAGAGCCGGCGGGGCGACGGCGAGGTGTACTGCCCCAGTGGAGAGCGCTGCCCGCTGGATAACTCTCCCAACAGCCCGCCCTGGGCCTTCATGCAGGGAGAGGTCTCCACCATCCTGGGCGCCGTTCCGGCTCCAGCGGGATCCGCGTCGGCAGCAGCATCCGGAGCCAGTTCAGGGTCAGGAGCTGCTCCAGCTTCTGGATCAGGGAGCGGAGCAGCAGGCGGCACAGGTGGAGGTGGATCAGGAGGAGTTGGAGGAGGAGGAGGAGGAGGAGACGTCACTGTTAAGAAAGAGAGAGAGACGTGATGGTGACGCGGACTGAACAGCAGCAGCAGGCGGGTTCATTTCACATCTAAAAGTTCTGCAGAAAAATGCACTTAAGTTTCAGACCCACAGCTTCAACTATAGATGTTACATTTATTAAAGGTGCAGTATCATGTAAAATCCACATTTTTTAGCCTTACATCATGTTATAATGTTTTTTTTTGTTTTGTTTTTTGTTTTTTAGAAAAAACTTGCTAAAGAGGTTTTTTAATTTGCTAAATGTATCGACGAAGTCGCTAAGTTGGCAACAGTGAGGGTGACTATTACTACCCAGGCAAATGGAAACGTGATAATATTGCTGGATAAAACTGGTTTCACCTGTAATTATTGTTGTTTGTATGTGATAATTATGGTTTTCCTTTTGTTTCTACAGATTTGGATTCAGTACAATAAGAGATGTCTACACTGGACTGCTGAGGGACCCAGAAAAGAAACACAACAACCAACAAAACCAGAAATCCTCCACTACACAGGTTCTAACTCCTCTGACTCGCAGTTCAGTTTAAACAGCATCGTAACAGTTCAGAAGCTTCTGTTTTTCATCATATTTTCCTTTAAACATCACTTTTCTCACCTGAAAAGGACTCAATACATTAGTTGTCCTCATTTAAAACGAATGTAAATTACATTTCTACTCACCGAGTCGAATCTCCAGCACAGGTCAACATCTAAACATTGGTTATAGTTGAGTTTTTGCTGCATCCTCAGTGATGCACAGGTGCTAAACATCACATTAGAAAAGCACCACAACATGTGATTTATGTCTCCATGGCTTCATGCATAACAATCCAAGTGCTTGGCTTTGTTTCTGTTTGATAAACTCAAACAAAAAAGGCTAACCTGCACTGGCTCAGTTGGTATACTAGGATCACACCAACACAGCAGCTGACATCCAGATTTCTAGTTTTTCTGTGGCTGAAAATAAATAAATTCAGTAACGTTTAGGAGCCGAAACTCGGTTCTTTCTTCTCGACACGACTGCATATTGTTTATTTTTCTGTATTTTATAACTGAATGTCCCCTAGAAAGCAAAAGGACTCCACAGAACAAAACAAAGCTAACAATAATTGTGCATTATAGAGAAATTAATGAATTTTCATAGTTTTATAGTAGAAAACGGGAAAGAAAAATGGATCAAGCTTAATGTTTTAATCTTTGATTAAACTCCAAATGATAAAAACGTGAAAACAAATTACTCTTGCTGCGCTGAAGGTGGAAGAAACAACTGTTTCTGAATTAATTTTTAATATTTGTGTCAGAGAGACCAGAAACGTCAACTTTATCTTACCCTACGATGCTAGCATGTCACTACTGACGCACATGAAATTTAATATTTTGCTTAATTTCTTGAACAAAACGAAGTTAAACGCTAATTAAAACGCCAACAACTCACATTTCCCTCAACGGTAATTAAACAGAAATGCTTTTGCACCTAGACGCACTGATATATCATCTGATAGAGGCTCAAAATTTCCTTTTCTGATCAGTTGGCGATCCAGAAATACCACCTGGTTGAACTGACAACACTCTTCAGTGTGGAAGTTATCATAGCAGGAAACCCAGAGAGCTGGACTTTGGTATTTTGCTTCCCACCTTTGAAACATTTCATCGAATTGAAGGAGACGGAGACTCTCCAGAGGCTGAACTCATAAATTACCAAACAGGTTGATTATATCAGAGCGAAGTTGCTCTGTTTTATACTTCAGAACTGCCTTTTGCCTGATTTTAAAAGGGTTGGGAGCCTTTTGGAAATCTAAGCATTTTGTAGGGAACCCTACATGCTAACCATGCTAATAGCTAAAGTAAAGATAATTTAAAATGGTGGAACTCAAAAGAGTAAAACACTGTTTTACAGTGACCGCTCTCTCCTGCACACTGTTGGATGTTACCTTTGCTACGTTTTTTAACGCTGTCAACTAAATCGACTGAAGTCGGTATAATACGGAGCTCCCTACAGCCCCCTTCTTTTACCATATCTCGCAATAAACTGGCTGAGAAATCTGAAACTGATGCCATATTGGCAGGTAACCGGCCACGACATTTTGTGCTTTTATTTCCTTTGCGCCAGCTTTATGTGACTCTTTGTGAAACAGAGAAAGGAGAACGTTGGCACTCTGCTGAAAAAAACCTGAGTGAACTTGCACCCCGCTACCTTCTTCAAATTTGACAAAATTGGTGTCAAACATTTGTGCAGCAAACATTTTTATTTGTGCCGCTATTATTTAAAAGATAATAAAAAAAGTTTCCAGAGGTCATCATTGATATCTTCATATCAAAAGGAGCACAAACAAAAAATTTTGCCGAGTTGTTTGATACCAAATTTGTTTGATTTTGTAAATGTAGTAAATGATGGCGGCACAAACCAACCATTTTTACTACACAAACGCAGCACAAACGTTTAACACAAATTTTGATAGATTTGGGTAATGTGGTTGACCTTTCGACCTTCAAACTTTCATTTAAAAAAATAAAAATGTTTGCTGCACAAACATATCGTTTAGGAAGGTGGGGGTTCTGGTGGACCTTTCACAACTTCCAGAAACATTTTTTAATATCCTTAAAATGACAGCGGCACAAACAAATATTTTTGCTGCACAACATAGCTGAGTTGATTTGTAACAAATTTGCTTGATTTGTAAAAGTAATATCTTTAAATTACTAGCAGCACGAAAATGTTTACTCCACAAACATTTGACACAAATTTTGTCAGATTGATATTTTCTAAACAAAAGCAGCACAAACATTTTTTTGCTGCACAAATGTAGTCGAGTTGATTGACAGCAATTTCTTTTAAGAAGTTGTGGCAGCTGTTTGACCTTTCATGACCCCTGGAAACATTTAATGTCTTTAAGATGATAGCGGCACAAACAAGACATTTTTGCTGCACAAACGTTTTACACCAATTTTGTTAAATTTGAAGATGCTCAGGTCTGAAAGAAATCAAGAAACTGACGCCATGTTGGCAGTTTTTATTTCCTTTACGCCAGCTTTACGTGACTCTTCGTGAAACCGAAGGAGAACGTTGGCGCGGTAAACTCGACTTTAACGTTGCTTTATGCTCACATCCAGCACAGCCTACGCTTTACCCCGAATGTATATTTCAAAAGATATCTATTGATAGGCCTAGGATTATATTTTATACTAGAATGTTAAATGTTATATACTGTAAAGATCTGTTATAGTATGTATGTGCAATCCCTTAGTCTTAGTATATGCAACAGTTTGAAATATGTTATGAAATATAATTGCGTATCTTTTTTTACTTTTTTTTTTTAAGGGAGAATCCACCTGAAAAAATTGATTCATAAAGTTTTGTTTTCCCACATATGATGAATGTATTTGTTCATTTGCCAGATTTTATTTTATGAATTAAAATGTTTGAAACTAAAGTGGGCGGGGCCAACGTTCGAGCTGAGTTTGTGTTTTGGGTCGATTCTCCCTTTATGTGCACGATGCACGCACAAACCAAAGGTCATGTTCAGCCCAACCTGATGTTTCTGGATGTAAATGTTTAATAAAAAATTATTTTTAGTTGTTTGTTGACCAGGATTCACCTGCGATGGAGTGTTAGGGTCATTTTAGATGACAGAAAAACAATAAATCTCAGTTAAAAATATTTAAAAAACTACATTTGATGTATTTACAAGAAAAATTATCAGTCGTAAATCTGCAAAAAAAAATGCAAATTTTTCATGATTTAAATAAATTTACAAATTTGTAATAAAACTAAATTTGACCATAAATGCCACTTTTGATGAAAGGAAAAATATGTTTTCAATAAAAACCTAAAAAAACATAAAAAAGTATTTAACAGAAAAAAGTACTGAAAAATCACGAATTTGCAAGAAAAAAATACAAAGTTGTCGTAATTTCAAGACATAAATTTACAATATTAAAGCTAAGATGTTCTCTGACAGAAAGTTCTGAATTTTTCAATGTTAGCCAAAATCTTAGCTTAAATATTTTAAGTATGGAAAGTATCAAACTTTTTCAGATAAATGTTTCTGATGAATTGGAGTGTTATTCATTGAAATTTCTGAATGTTTTAAATCCTTGCTTTAATATTGTAAATTTATGCTGTGAGTCATGGAAAGTTACCATTTTTATCTTGTGACTTTATAGCATTTAACATTCGAGACATTTTTTTCTTGTAAATATGTGAAATTTGACAAACTTCTATTTTTTATTAAGTTCAGTCTAGAACAGCCTTAATACTCTGTCATAGGATTCAAACGGATGTTTTTCTTCAGTTTTATCTCTCCTGTGTTCTGTTATACAATGGGATGTAATAATTAATCGTGTTCAACATGTAATATCCCTCAGATTGGCTCTGTTTTTGGAGAAATGTCTAGAGAATTTGATATAAAGTATAATATGCACTGATACGTAATGCAATCCCTCGGTAAGTGCCTTTTTAAAAACGTCTACCATCTGTCTGTGTGGGAACCTCAGGGGAAGCAGTGGACTCTGTGATGTCGTTGGAAAAACCCAAATCAGTTTCCCTCCAAACGCCATCACAGCGCTTTTCCTTTTTATCTGAAGCTTTTGTAAAGTCAGCTGGCATTTTGTTTGGCCGTTTCGTCCCCCTTTGTGTTTGGAGTTTGTTTTTATCAATGTTCTTGTTTTTGTAGAGCTTTTTGTTTTACTGCAGCTTCATGTACAAAATAGAAACCATCAATAAACGGGATGGAAACTTGTATGTTTGTCTTTCTATTTTTGACACTTCAACATCTAAAGACTTGATTATTGGGAATAAATATTTAATAAAACCCTAATAACTAAATGTTAAACACAACATATTCCAGATTGTGGAGCACAATACACATATCTGTTTTAGCTATTTATTTTAGTACTACACAGGTAGAGAACTCAAACGGTAGTTGGGTAATAGTTGCAGTTCTATTGTTTATAAGTTAGATGGGAATGAGGGGAATGCCTGTTCTGTTGTTGTCATAGCACCTACCTACCAAGATGGCCGTCAGTTACAAAGTTCACAGAACTGTGATGTCACATGACAACTATTCATAACAAATTTATTAGAGAGCTGATAAGAGACCATATAAGCAAAACAGCTTCTGCATTTTTCCATGTCGGCCATATTTGCCCAGTTACAGTCAAACAGCAAATGCATTTCTAGGCAACAAAAAAACATTTTGGGGATTTTTAAAATAGAACATGTATTATATATTCTAAACACTAAAATGTTATCAGCTTTGACAAAAACTGGTAAAAAAAAAAAAAAGTAAAGTATAGGTAGTAAAAGCTTAGTTTACCAATTCTGCCTTTTGACTATATTGTTACACTCATGTTGACAAGTTTCTTGTATTTAGTAGTATTACTATCTGACAGCATAATGGAGGTGCACTGTTCCTGGAGGTACTGCAATACCAGGTCAATGCGTGGAGAGGACGGGGCAAGCCCCTGTTCCAGCTCCTTGTTCCAAAAATCAATTTAATGCATGGTCCTCGTTTGGAGGACTATCAGATATTAAACTGATAAGAACAGAAACTACACTTGATCTTAGCCAAAAGGCCGAGAAGCGATGCCGCAGAACCGGGGAGGAAACCATTTCTTCCAGGCGGGGCTCAGTTTAACTCACGGTTCAGAAACTTTAACAATAATTTAAAGCTTTAGCAGAAACAGAGACGGTGGTGTATTTATTTTATGATGACCCGGTAGTTTTAGTGTTAGTATGTCGCGGGATATTAAACTCAATCAGTCAACAAAAGGAAAATATCCGGGTTTACATGTAACCACGTGACACGCTTTCGTCCAATAGGAAGCCGAGAAGTGAATACGACTGCCAATAAAAAAATTCACAGGTTATAACACTTTAACTCTTTGATATACGAGTAGTTGTCATTAAATGTTTTAGCAAACATTTATCTGTTAATATTTTACATTGAGGAACCTTTTTGCTAAATTAATTAACTTTTTCTGTTTTGCTGTGAATGTGTTCTGCTGCTGCTGTAACATGGATTTTTAATCTCAACTGGATTTTCCTGTGAAATAAAGGTTAATAATTTATTTCAGTTCGACTAACTTAGTTTTTAGTAACTGAGTTTATTGTCTAAAGTCTTTCAAATTCAACTCAGATTTTGGTGGATTTGGTAAAAATGTAATTTTAAGTGCAGAGCTTAATGTTTTGCATCTGCCACAAGATGGCGCTATATATCAAATAGTGCTTGGAGGCGCAGCTACAACCCTAATTTGTCCCTTTACGAGCCTTTTTGGATGACAGAAACTCTGATTTTCCCTCGGTTGATGCATATTAATCCGCCTGAACGCTGATCTGGGTCTGTCCTTCCCAACGGCCTCGGACCGGTTGATGTGTCGTTTCCTCCATTAGTGTCAGCTCATTACTGCTATTGTTAAGCCAATTAGAGAGGTGATAATGGACGGCATGGAGCCCCTATTGACAAGAAAAACAACCCGCTGAGACACAAAACGAAAGAAAATACAGAGAAGTTACATAGAAATTGACATATTTAAATAAAAAAATAAACTCTGATGGCAAAAACTTATTGGAACAGCGATCATAACGGATAAGTCGTGAAATTTTGACCATTTATAATGAATAAGCCATCATGAAAATGCTTAAATTGTATAAGCACTTAAAGTAAACACGCAAAAACACAAAATCTTACCAAGTCATTTTGGTCTAATTTCTAATAACTTAATACGCAAGAAGTAAAACAAAACTGACTTTCAAGTAACTTTTCAGCAACATATAGGAGCTTGTTTTAAGTCAATTCCTTAAAATATTTTTTTAAAGTAGTAGTTTGTCTGGCAGATTATTTTACTTATGGGAAAAAATGTCTTGTTATAAAAATAATCTGCCAGTGAACTAGAGCCGGGTTGCTAGGTAACGGGCTGGGCTTGCCTGGGGTTGCTAGGTAACGACGCAGTGTCCATTGATTGTGAAATAAATTGAATAATCTACTAGAGGAACTAGAACTTTTTCATCAATATTAATGAATTATTTACTTAATATCTTGCTGAAAATCTACTTCTAGGTTAGTTTTGTGTGCTGACATTTGTGATACAGAAATCACTTGGTAAGATTTAGTGTTTTCGTAGTAAAATGTCCTATTTTTTAACATATTACACATTGTATTTTGGTTCTAATCCCAGTTCAAACCGGTCATAAAAGCAAAACGATTTTTGCCAATTGAAATTGTAAGAGTCACATTTTAAAAATGTTTAAATCAACAGATTTTTCAGATAAATCCGTTTCGTTCCTGACAAACGTCGGTACGAAAATACCTGATATAGCAAAAAGTACAAAATGTCGAATGAGTGAAGTGATCAGAATCCAATTAAATAGGCGTGGAAGTCCTTCATTTCTGCGGCTGCTGCTTCTTTGCGGTTTTCAAGCGTTTCACATGTTTGCGCTGAAATATCCCTGCAAGCATGTTTGAGATCCCCCGTCCAGATAGTCAAATATTCCAAAGATAAACAGATTTCACTACCTGGTAAATATTTGACCATATAATTAAAATATCGACAACTGATGCCAACAACAAAAGATTATTTACTCGCTGTTGGTTTGTGCGTAAAAACAATGATAACGCTCCAGGTTTCTCAGCAGATGCGCGTATTGGACGTAGACGTCTTCTTCTTCTTCTTCTTCTTCTTCTTCTTCTCCTTCTCGTCTTCCTTTTTTGTTGTGTTTTGTTCCGCACTCGCGACCAGCTGCAGCAGGGAGGCGGATATGAAGGAAATCCCGACGTAACTCGGAATACACATCAGGCCTGGGAGCAGACGGAGGCCGTGAATGTCAATGCCTCAGCCTTAATGGGGACTGAAGGAGACGGAGCTGATGCGCATGCGGGAGGCCAGCGGGATTAGAGTCTGAGGGAGAAATCTGCATAACCAGCGTCTTTATGCCTGTTGATGGCAGAAAGATTGTGGGGGGTTTTGTGGGAACATTGTTATGATCAGGTCTCATGAAACCACGGAGAACAGAGAAAACATGCGTTACAGGTGAAAATAGGAGAATATTGAGGTATTCTGGTTTTTAATCGCTTTGTTGAGTCTGCAGATCCACTTCATAACCCTGCATCCAAACAACAGAAGATATCTGAGGTAGAAAACACAACTGTACTCAGACTCAGGAGTAACACAACTCCAACATAGTTTTATTAAATTGAAAGTAGCCGTCCAAGAAATTACTCAAGTTAGAGTAAAACAGCATTTGGTAAAATATCTACTCAAGTAACTGATCAAATGGTCAATAATTTAAATATTGAAAAAAGACGTCATCAGCAGGACAAAATATAAAGCAAAGTGGAGATTTCAGTATTTTAAAGACAAAAAGGACAATAATTCATATAATTAAAAAATAATAAAATCAGGCAAAATAACATTTTTCAAATCATTTCTTTCAATAAAAAAAAAAACTTTACCAGAAACTGCAGGTGTGTCTGAGTCTGGGGAGTTTAGGGTTAAAACATGTTTTTCATTCAGTGGGAAGAAAATCCAGAAACTTACTCAAGTAAGAGAAGAAATACGTCACAGTAATATTACTTAAAGTACAGCGTAGTAAAAATACTCCTAAAAGTTTTTTGTTTGTTTTTTTTTTCAAACAAGTTACTCAAGTAAATGTAACTAGTTTGTACCCAACTCTGCAAACAGGCAACATTTTACTTTATTTATAAGTAAGTTAACTTTTAGTTTTGAGGTTTCTTCCCCTGCTGACATCTCTCCCCGCCGGGCCAATAAACAGCACGCCAGGGGGCCACATCGGCCTTTCCGCGCGGCCCTTCCTGGATCCCGACTCGGCGTTGGGATCGGGGCGGAACCTGCAGGCGCCTTTTATAAGCGCAGGAGGAGACGCGCAGTTCCTCACTGTGTTTGCGCGCTGCGCCTCCGTCCCATCCAGAGCTGCGTCCCAACTGGTTCCCCGGCGGGAAGTGAAGACAAACGGGCCAGAAGAAGAACCCAGCGTCCCTCTGTAATTAATTAACACGATTCTGAAACAATGGATGAGTGAAAAAAATCAGAAAAATCCACTGAATTCCTCAGAGGAACGTCGCTGACGCATCGAGGAAACTTTCTGCCCGGATTTTCCATTTGCTGAGGATTGTAATTTTCTTTTTTTTAATATATATATATATTTCTCCCTAAAAAAAAAAACAAAAAAACAAACATAAACTACAGTTTTAGATATTTTTCTGCTTTCTGAAGACTTGTGTTGGGGATGTTGAGCTCTGTGAAGATGGAAGCGCACGATTTATCAGAGTGGAATACCTTTTACAGCGAGGCCAGCGAGGTAAAACCCGAGTTCACTCTTACATTTTCATCACGTTACTCAGAAATTATTTTGACTTTATTGTTACTTTTTCGTTTTTATAAAACGCGGAGCAGCTCGGAGCCTTTTTAGGTTGGCAGATGGGGGAAGAGGGACACATTTCGTTTGCGCAACAGGAGTTCGACTAAAAAAGTATTTCGATTTAAGTAAAAAAATATATACTTAAGTGTAAAAAAAACTAATTTGAATGTGTTCTAAATAATGCTTTAAGTAAGTAAATTATTTCAGATTAAAGTCAAGATAAATGTCTTAAAGGGTAAAGTTTATTCTAATATCTTCCTAGAAATAACAATTAACCTACTTTTAAAAAACGTGATATTTACAGAGATGTTTTTTATTCTAATTTAAGGTGAAATGTTTAATTTGGAGCATAAATTTGCGCTT